ATGAACTGCATCCCAATCATCATCACACATACTGCAGAAGATCTATTGGAACCCGCATGGACCCAAGATTCTTACAGAAATCAGTCAACTTTGGTGAAAGAAAAAAATTATGGTTTGGGGTTACGTTCAGTATGGGGTCGTGTGAGAGAGCTGCAGGGTGGATGGCACCATCAACAGCCTGATGTATATTTGTGCTGCTCATTACATTACAATCCACAGGAGAGGGTACGTTCCTCAGCAGTATAGCACTTTTTCTCTCTTCAGCCTTTATATCAAAGCTCCTGAAAGCAAAGAAAGTCAAGGCGCTCCACAATTGGCCATTATTGAGCATGTATGGGGTAGGATGATGGAGGAGTCATTGAAGATGAATCCAAAGAATCTTGATGAACTCTGGAGGTCCTGCCAGAATGCTCTTTGCCATTGTCATTGCAGAGATGCATAGATGCAGTCCTCCAAGCTCATGGGAGTGATACACAATCTTAAATCTTTTTCCACTGCACCATGACTTTATATTCTATACTGTGCATTATTTCTGTTAAGTGACAAGAATCTTGTCTAAGCAAAGTCAGACCTAACTGTCCTAATTAAATAATTAAAAATCAAGGCATGATCATATTTTATTTTGGTAAAATAAGCGTAACCTAGGGTGGCGCGGTGGCGCAGTGGGTAGTACTGTCGCCTCATAGCAAGAAGGTCACTGGTTCAAGCCTCGGCTGGGTCAGTTGGCATTTCTGTGTGGAGTTTGCATGTTCTCCCAGTGTTCGCGAAGGTTTCCTCCAGGTGCTCCGGTTTCCTTGACAGTCCAAAAACATGTGCCATACTGTAGGTGAAATGGGTAAGCTAAATTGACCATAGGGTATGTTTGTAAAAAATAGTGTTTGTGTGTTTCCCAGTGATGGGTTGCAGCTAGAAGGTCATCCGCTGCATAAAAAATATGCTGGATAAGTTGACGATTCGTTCCCCTAAATAATAAAGGAACTAAGCTGAAAAGAAAAGAAAAGAATGAAGCAGAATCTAGAGGTCTCTGCCTTTCATATAAGCCACTGCTGATACCAACTGATCCACTAGAAGTAAAATTAGTTTGTCAGGTACTGTACTACCTTTTTGAATTTAGTCAGGTAGTGTATGTTTACATTAATAAAAAGGAAAAATTATCAATAACAAAAAAAATGAAATGCAAGTATTGTGTAAGTTATATTTATTTTGTTTTAAGCAATAAATTTATTTTTAATAGTCACATGATCAACTGACATATTATAACCTGCCTGCACTGATATATGGTTCAGATTTGCTACATTCTGTGAAAAATACAAAGAGTGTACATATTTCTAACACAACAAACAGCCTCTAATGCATTGCTACTATAATTTATGCGCACTACTTTCTCTATAAAAGCTTAGGGGGTCGGCTTTTACAGCACAGTCCTGTCATTACAGCTCGCAACATGATTGACAGAACAAAACAGAACAGGAGCTTAAGTGGCAGTCCAGCCATGTATTTTCTTCACATTACAGCAAATCATTTACTCGCCGCCCCTGGCCAAACGAAGAACCCAGCGAACAAAATTGAAACAGGATGGATTCATTAGATTAGCCAAAGCGAGGTCTAATTCACACAGACATCCGCACTCACTTGAGGAAATATCCATGTCCTTATATTCGCAGTGGAAGCCATCCGTGTCTCAATGCTGTAAACAATTATTTCTCTCCTAAGATCTGTATCTGCTCTGAGGTGTGATAAATGAGCTCTTACTCCTCACATCCATCAGGCAGACCAAACAAACAGAAAATGGACGATGGGCTTTTCAGGCCATGGCTAAGCTTCATTTAAGCATTGTTTATAGTGCATCACTCTAAACAGATGGTTTATCATCAGAATAGAACACCAGACAGAGCAAAACTCTTATTTAAAGGTCCACAGAGAAGTTTCTATACAAACAGTACAGTGAAAGTATGCATGAATGCAAAATAAAAATTATTTATTGGCTTTGGATCCATAAAAATCTTTTCATTCCACAAAAAAAAAGTTCTTGGAGGTGAAAAAAAAGATTTTTTAGATTACTAAAATGTTCACACAAAGAAAACTTTTAAACCTTCCCATTTCACATGATGCTCTTAATAGGGGAAGTTTTTTTCAGGGGTTTTAGCAATTTCAAATGTCGCAAACACTTTTAATAATGTTTCAAAACCATTTTTTTAAATATTTTTTTCTATGTGATTGCTGAATTCCAGAAACAATAAAACTAATTTTGAAAAATCTAAGTTTAAAACAAAAGTTAAAGCTAACATTCTTCAGTAACGTTAACAGAATATAATGCTATGAATATGGTCTCTATTAGTGTTTGAAAACATTAGCCCAAAACCTTACACATAATTATTGCATAATAATAAAGTTAAAATGGAATACTCTCTAATCCCTATTTGAAAAATGTAAAGAGAACGTAAAGAAAACGTAAAATGAAAAACATGAAGAACAATTTTAATCATTTACAGATCTTTTTTAATATATGTAAATGGTTTTGGTGAATTAAAAGTTTCTTCATGAAGTCATCAATGCCAATGTACAGATTGTATTTATAGGAGTAAACCCAAAAATAGGATCATCCTTGTATCCCAAAAATGTACTTGTAATGTACACCACTCCTAATATGTAAAAGACAATTAGTTTCTTGTGTAAAGTCCTATTTTATTCAATTCAATGTGGAAGTGTGCACGTTTTTGTGATTGTTTTAGAACTTCCAAATCAGTTGCCTATGAGAGAAATGACTAGGAATAATAAACAGCAGAAAATGGTCAAACCACTTGCTCCAGAGACAAGTGTTTGCAAGATTTTACAGACAAAATTGAATAATATAAAAAAAATATATCAGTTTGCAACATTAAGCAGCAAATTAACCTGGTTTTAATGTCTAAAAATGAATGGAACTGAATGAAACCTGAAGTCTCAAGCCAAAAAGATTCTAATGGCTGCCCCTGTTTATATGCAGTGAATAAGGTGAATACTGTGGAAAAATTAATTGTAGAATTTCTTCCAAAATATAATTTAGAAAATTACATTTCTATTAAGTTACATTTTTTCAACCCAGGGTAGATTTATTTTAATTTATTTACACATTTATTATTTATCTAATAAATATTTTTATTATGTATTGTATTTATTTGTGTTGATGTAAATTCAATTTACAATTATTATAATTATAAGGTCTGAAAATTAATTAATAAGAATGTATTTTATTACAATAAGGTAGTTATTTATTTATCGTAATACAATATTTATTTTATGAATTACATTATTTTTATTTACATTAAAATTTCCACAGACCCCATAGTACTTCTTTGCAGTGCCCAATATAAACCCCAGTATAAAATTCCAGTTTTATATTATCACAACATTCTTTACTAGACATGGCATGATAACCGGTTTCGACGTTTACCACGATTTTGAAAAGTCAAGGTTTTAAAACTCTTATACAGTTCCTAAGGTATGTGAAAGTTTTTTATGTTTTTTTATGTGTTGTAAAGAAATGTGTTTTTGAAACTAATGAAGAGTACAGAAGTCAACAATTTATTAAAATTATTTAGCCTGACATTTTTACAGCTCCAAAATGTTAAAAATGTTTCCTAAAATAAAATATATCGTGTTTAATTGGAAAAAAGTTGTTGTTTTTACACAGATATTTAAAAAGAACAACATTTAGAGCAGTAAAAACAATACTGCGAACCCATGATATTTTTATCCAAGGTTATCCTACAGTTAGAAACTTATACCGGCCCATGTCTGTTCTTCACACTAAATTAATAGATTTAATTATATCGCTATGGGAAAACATGAAAACTGTTAATCATGAACACGCATAGCAAAGAATAAGATGACGGCATTACCAATAAAATCATGCTTAAAAGAAATAAGTAAATATTGCCATGTTTGCCCTCTCATTTCTTGTAGCAACAGGTCCATCACCTCAACGATGACCAACTCTAGTATGTAATGGGAACTTCTAGAGCCACTCTGATTCATCCTATATACAGTATAATGAAGTAATTGACTTATAAATTCTCAGAGGATGTTATTTTTTAACTTATATTAAAAGCAATAAGAATTAATTATCTTGGAGTTTAAAAAATGATTAAGTCTCTTGAATGATGAGGTGCAGATGCAGATCTACAGCTGAGGATTTGAGACAATGGCCCACGTGTAATAACAGACCGTTAGATGATAGACAAAAAAATGTACCATGAAAGTATTTTAAGATTATTTAAAAAAATATTGTATTATTCAAAGTTATTCTACAGCCTTCAAAATCTAACTAGACACCTATTTGCAATGGCAATTGCCATATAAAATACCCCCACTGACGTCTATGCACTTGGGAGGTCACTGGGTTTATGTCTATGTTTTAACTCAACTGTACTGAAGATGTACCATTCTGTGAGACAGAAAGAGACGTGATAATGCTGCTTGAACAGACATCATTTTTTACACCCATGTGCAAATCAGTGTCTTGCTTTCTTCTGTGGAACACAAAAGATAATAGCATAAGCCTCAGTCACCATTCACTTTCATTGTGGAAAAAGTGCAATAAAGGTGAATGGAACTGACTGGCTAACATCTTTTGTGTTACACAGAAAAAAATCCATACATCTTTGGAATATATTCTAAATAAATAGAGACAGAATTTTTATTTTTACATTAACATTTAAACTTTTGCTATAAATGAACATTGTTGTGCTGATTGTATAGACAACGTTTAACCAAGGGAAACCATATCAACTCATTTTTATCCACAGACAGTTGCAGTGCACCTGTTTTCGGTCCACTTTAATGGAAACGAAAGCCTTTAACTTAAAATAATATGACGGGACTGTACAACAATATTATTCGCGGCTTTTACATATATTCATCATCCTGTTTTGATTTATATCATCATTGACACGAAGCGGTAAAAGTACAGTAACAGACATTTGAAAACACGCACGCTTGACACAGACACATGCTCTTACCTTCAACAGCCCACACAAGCCGTATTATCCACAACAAACGAATTATATCCATAATTGCCGTAAATTTAGGCATTTGACTGTAAAGACCCAGAATATTCATTGAAAACTTGTCCGGCGGGCCATCTGTGAACACACTATGATCACAAGCACTCGAATAAACCCCATCGGACTGGAAGAACTAAAGCAAGTTTGGACGAAACCAATGAAACGCAGACGAGGGGGCGGGAATGTGAGTATGACAATGATGCTCAAACACTAGTGTCTGCAAGATTATTATATTATATTATATTATATTATATTATATTATATTATATTATATTATATTATATTATATTATATTATATTATATTATATTATATTATATTATATTATATTATTATGCCTATTTACTTAAATTTAATATAAATAATTTAATCAATAGCAATACTTAAAATGAAACAATTTAACACAAATAGTTTAACAATAAAAAAACAAAGTTCTGTCATAATTTTATTTAATTATTATTAATAAAATATATTTTTAATCTACGTTAATATTCATGATTTCTCTAATATGCAATGATATACTGATTTAGGCAATCCTACAAATAAATGAAGGCACTTTAATTAAAGTAGCCTAAAACATATTTATTTAGAAATGTTATTTTAATAAAATAGTCGAACAATGGTCACAGACGAAAATAGAATATATTATTTACTTAATTATTTGTCTGTTACTCACTTGTTATTACTAATATATCATTATTATTTATTCAAGTCATTTATTATTTATTACAATTTTTTAATGTTTACTTCGGGCATATTTACTATACAAGACATCAAACATTAGACGACTCTATTTAAGGATCATAGTGATCACAGCCCCCAAAATACTCATTTAAATCTTTGTTTTTTAACATTAACCTTCAAACCAGCTATTAACAATTTGTCAGCAAGACGTTTATAATAATTTTAAATAAAATTTAGTATGATAATCTTTGATATATTTTAATATCAGAATAAGTAGCCTATGTTATTTAATTATTATTATAGCTGAAGTCAGAATTATTAGCCCCCCTTTGAATTTTTATTTCTTTTTAAAATATTTCCAAAATGATGTTTAACAGAGCAGGGAAATTTTGACAGTATGTCTGAATATTTGTTCTTCTGGAGAAAGTCTTATTTGTTTTATTTTGGGTGGAATAAAAGTAGATTTACTTTTTAAAACCATTTTAAAGTAAAAATTATTAGCCCCTTTAAGCTATATTTGTTTTCGAGAGTCTACAGAACAAACCATCGTTATACAATAACTTGCCTAATAACCCCATGCCCAATTAACCTAATGAACTTAGTTAAACCGTTAAATGTCACTTCAAGTTGTATAGAAGTGTCTTGAAAAATATCTAGTCAAATATTATTTACTGTCATCATGGCAAAGATAAAATAAATCAGTTATTAGAAATGATAAACTATTATGTTCAGAAATGTGTTGAAACAATCTCTCCTTTAAACAGAAATTGGGGAAAAAAATAAACAGGGGGGGTAATAATTCTGACTTCAACTGTGATTTTGTTAGATTGAATGAAGACTGAATATTTTTCTGCCCATATCTTGAAATTTTTATTTTAACAAAAGAGTTATTGCACTGGGTCATGGTTGTATTTGACTTAAAATGAGCCTTGCCCTTCACAACAACAACAACAAAATACTTTTAATACATGAAATATTATTTAATTATTATTACATACATTTGTTACACTGAATGAAGGCTAAATATTTTTCTGCCCATATATACCTTGATAATTTATTTTTAACAAACGTTATTGGAAACATTAAAAGCAGCACTTTACTTGCATTTAATGTTTCTTTCTGTAAAATAGGTTTTTGACTCACACACACACACACACACCAAGTAGCTAATTTACACAGGAATCGCCTATTTAAGGATCAATAACATTATTTATTTGAAAATGTTATATGTTACATCAACAGTGCCCCCTGGAGTATGGGGGAAATAAATGTTGTGTGTTTTATCTGTGCAGAAGGGTGAACTGATAATGTGATGCGGGTGATCGTCTATCAAATAGTTCCCTGATCCCCTGAGTCACTTGCAGTTTTCTTGTTGTGAGGATTACAGAGCTGACAGATCACACGGGGGCTGGTGTGAAGAAGACAAATGGCCTCGCTTCTCAACACCACTGCTCGTGATCTTTGACTCCCATGTGAGAAGCTCCATGTGGCGCTTCAGCTCTCATGCACTGATGTTGGTTGTATTTTCAGTGGATCATTATATAGATCCTACATCATGGAGCTATTAGTACAATTACCTTTCAACGTTTCTTTTCTACCCTTTATCAGTATGCATAATTGCGATATTTTTATGTTTTGTTTAAATTTTGCAAACAAACTGTGGAATTTAACATACTGTAGAGAATTGTTCATACAGTATACACTGCATGCACAATACAAATAGACATAATAACAAATATTAGAAGACTAGTTTTTGCTTGATAAAATGTGTCCTCTCCTGTTACTATTCTGGTGTTAGAATCTATTGAAAGATGATTTATTGCATGAGTGAACTATTCATTCATGTATTTTCTTTTCGGCTTAGTCCCTTTTATAAATCCAGGGTCGCCACAGCGGAATGAACTGCAAGCTTATCCAGCACATTTTTACGCAGTGGATGCCTTTTTAACTGCAACCCATCTCTGGGAAACATCCACACCCACTCATATACTCCGGACAATTTAGCCTAGCCAATTCACCTGTACCGGATGTCTTTGGACTGTGAGGGAAACCGGACTACCTGGAGGAAACCCAAGCGAACGTGGGGAGAGCATGCAAAATCCACACAGAAACGCCAACTGACCCAGCCGAGGCTCAAACCAGCGACCTTCTTGCTGTGAGGCGACAGCACTACCTACTGCGCCACTGCGTCACTTCATGAGTGAACTATCCGAATAAATTAGACGGTTTCATTTTCATTACTAATTAATTAATTAATTTAATGGAAAATTTCAGATTAGTATCAAATTAAATATTTAAACAATTTGCATGGATGGATGGAAGAACAGGTGGATGGATGAACGGGTAGGTAGATGGTTGAGAGGATGGATGGAAGGATGGATGCATAGTTGGGTGAATGGATGGATAGATGGGAGGATGGATGGGTGAAAGAATGGTTAGGTGGATGGATGGATGGATAGATGGATGGTTGGGAGGATGGATTAAAGGATTGAAGGATGGATGGATGGTTGGAAGAATAAATGGTTGGGAGGATGGATGGTTGGGTGGATGGATGGATGAACAGGTGGATGGAAGGTTGGGAGAGTTGATGGTTGGGTGGATGGATGCATTGTTGGGTGGATGGATGGATAAATGTATAGATGGTGAATAGATGGTAGGGTGGATGGATGGATGGATGGATGGATGGATGGAATGATCGATGAATGAACAGGTGAATGGATGAACAGGGGGTGAATGGTCGAGAGAATGGATGGATGGATGGATGGATGGATGGATGGATGCAAGAATGAATGGTTGAGGGGATGGACGGTTGGTTGGTTGGGTGGGTGGAAGGATGAAGAGGTGGGTGGATGGTTGGAAGGGTGGTTGGATGGATAATTGGGAGGATGGATGAATGGATGGATGGATGGATGGATGGATGGATGGGTAGGTGGATGGTTAAGATGATGGATGGATGGATAGTTGGGAGGATGGATGGATGACTGGATGGATGAATCAATGGTTAAGTGAATAGACGGATGGATGGCTGGGTGGATGGATAAATGGACGGATAAGTGAATGGATGGATGGATTACTGTCAAAACCATGATTGTTAGGGTTACCCCATTTAATAACAACGACCACGTTTGTTGGTTTTATCTGTAGTCAAACCAGTTTTTCTATGAAATATTCAATTTGGCATTTTCTCTGACAAGCACATGTGAGACTAGCATTGAATCCAAACATTCATTCATCTTCCTACTAGATAGCATAGGTCAGGGGTCACCAAACCTGTTCCTGGAGGGCCATTGTGCTGCAGATTTTAGCTCCAACCCTAATCAAACACACATGAACAACCTGATGAAGGTCTTACTAGGTATACTTGAAACACCCAGGCAGGTGTGTTGAGGCAAGTTGGAGCTAAACCCTGCATGGACACCGGCCCTCCAGGACCGAGATTGGTGACCCCTGGTATAGGTGAAAAAGTTCTTTTTGTCCAGTAGGCAAGAAGCATCCAGCCTACTTTCTATTTCCAGTGAGATTAAAAAGTGCACATTTGATAAACACTTTTCTCTCCCATGAGGCCACAGAGGATTTGTGAATGAAAGTGAAGCAACATAAATAACATAGGTCATGAGATAATGACAGCATGGCAGATGTAGCATGTCAAGCTTTCAGTCACACACAAAAATAGAGCAGACTGTTTTAATAGTAGTGAAGTTTGTTTCAACCCAAATGTAGCATATAGCATTTATCTATTACATTTTAAACTCTGCAGTTTTCTTAATGTTGACTTTGTTTAGTAAATTGCATTGGGTCATAGCTTTATTTGACTTAAAAATGACCCTTGCCTTTCACATCAGAAAAGTTTTACCTTTAATACATGAAGGAAACACATATAGATTCATATAGATTAAGTAAATAATCTGTATATTGCTAACATATAGAAATCATTTAAACCATAGAATTTTACATGAACATCTGCTAGTATCTACAAACAAACAACCAAGGCTGAAAATCATAATGACTTGATAAAATCAAAACATGATCATACACACTTCTGCAGAAAAAAAATCTCCAAACGGAGCGAAACAGAGCAGTTAGTAAGAGCAGAAGAGGGCGAGACCACAGGACGGGGAGAGACGGAGAGAGTCGGGGAAAGAGAGGGAGGAAATAGAGCAGAAGAATATGGATGTGACATAAAGGAATCTAGGATAATTCAGCCTCAAGAAGAGTGAGGACTGCAAAACGGCAGACTGGAGAATCCAGGGGTCGTTTCCATGGCAACCTTTGCCCAGGGAGATTGGCGACCCTCCTGTCTACTAATGCTAGCAGAGCGCAGATTGTAGGTCACATATGGCACCAACAACCCAATCAGGTCTAATCTGTCTTGACTTGTGGGTCATGAATTGAACCATGAAACTGGTTTTTACTCTGCCTCACATCACTGACTGTTATGTATAGATTTTTATCGTTTGTGTT